AAAAAAAAAAAAGAAATCAATTGCAATTCAGTAAACGCGAGCCAAACGCGATGGAACTTGGCGAATACGAAATTCCACGTATCGCACAAAGGATCGAATTATTAATTCTTCTTCTTGCGAAAAATTCAAAGAAATTATCGAATTGATTATCATACGCGAAGCGATTAAAGAGCAGCAGCCGCTTAATTTTCCAATCGATCAGCCAAGGGAAAAGTCGAGTGAAAAAGAAAGGACTGGAAGGAGAGGATCGACGAACCGGACTCGATCAATTTTATGTCCCCCGGATCGACCGATTGTCCGATGGTGGCACGAAAGAGAGACGAGTAAAGAGGAGAGGACCGAGACCTTGCGATGCACCTGCTCTCAGGTGTACGTCCGCACCTTCCATCCGCGCGTGCAATGCATCTTTCTTCCCTCTCGCTCCATCCTTTCGTCTTTTCGCTCCGTCCTTTCCTTCTCTCTCTCTCTCTCTCTCGCTCCCCGGTCTCTTCCTCTCCGGCTTGCGAGTCAAATACTACACTTCGAAACATAGCGTGAGCCGATGTTAATCCTTAGTTAAAGATTCCATGGTCAAACGTTGATAGCAATATCGCTCAAGGCCGATAAACAAGGAGATTCGATGATTTTTTAAATTAACGGTTCTTTGTGACTTCTTTTCCTCGTCAAAGAAATTTCGACTAATTAAAATTGTTGATGAATTTATGTTATTTTTTATTATCGATCCTGTGATGTTTTCGATTTTTGATATTGTCACGTATGCTGAGTTTTATCTGGACAATGAAAGTTCATTTACTTTTTGATCCATAACGATAAACTTGAATCTTTGAAATGTGTCCTCCTTTCTGTCGGGGATTTTTGAGAAAATTGAATAATCGAGAATTCGAATCATTAGGGATACCTGGAAAGAAATTATAAAAGAATTGAGTTTTGTCAGTTGTACGATACATTTCGAGGTGAAAAATCTGTGTCAAACACGACGAAGGATAGAAAGCACGTACCAGACAATATAAGATCTCGTAAATTAAAAGCGTGACGAATAGAAACCAGTTCATTAATATGTATGACTGTAACTGCGGTTTTTAATAACTTCTATGATAGTTAACCGCAAGTCGAGTTACAATAAAACGGTTCCTTCGTCACAAACACAGTATGATTCTCACGGACCTTGTTGTGTCACAGCATTTGCAGAATCTATTAAAGTCTTAAAGTTATTTAATCTCTCTTTCGTTTCATTATTATGAAACAAATGTATTATAGCTATTTGCAGAATATTTCATCATTTGTAATATTATTTTAATTAATTAATTACAAGTAATTTTTTGAAGAATTATATTTGACAAGTATCATACCATAGTATTCAATCATCATATTTAAATGATCAATAGACAATATTTAATATTTTATTAATTATTATCAATTATTCAAATATGAAAGTCGTAAATTGAGTGATCGATTGTTCCGCGAGAAGAATACAATTAGTCATACAATACGACAACATTCTTTTAAATTTTTTAGACAGTTTGATTGGTTAATTAATCAGTGGAGTTGCAATCGATTCACGATCTCCTCGGGGACGTGTTGCAACCATGACTGACAGGTGTTCCTGTACAGTGGCGAATAATTTTCTTCGTTTCTTGGAGGTTACTGGTTGAATATCCCGGAATTTCCGGTCTTTCAAGCAATCAACAGTGGTTTGTTTCCTCGATAGATCTCGTTGAAGATTAATTTTGATATAACTTTTCGATCAATGTCCAATATCTTTCGCACATTTTTCAACGTTAATTGATCGTTCATTACGTTCTTGTTTGACTGAATGGACGATAAGCTAGTTTTCATTAGTTACAAATTCAATATGTTTAATGTTTTTATTATGTATTTTAGCTGATAAAGATCTATCGATCAAGAAGCATTAAATAATCACAAGATCATAATAGATATATGATTCTGTTAATTTCCATCACTATTTGTCTTTGTGATTTCCTCGAAACATTTTGATGTCAATTGCATGGCAATCATAATTAATTCGTTTAAAAGTTCATTATCTGAAAATTCATTAATTTTAATATCATAATACATTATATGAATAATTAGTAAAAATTAATTCAAAAATCAAAAATAAAAGAATATTATTTTTTATTCTAATTAATTGATTAAATGATTTTATAAAAATTATTATTTGAAAAATTTGAATTTTGATACCATCGAAAAGATTTATGGATTAGTTGAAAATTTAAAAAGATGCGTTTCTATGGACAGACAGGATATTATCCTCTGGAATCAACAGGTGAATCATCTCGGAACAAGAATATTCCCCCGTCGCCATGTCCAACTGAAATTTAGCCAATTATAGAGACAACGATCGTCAGTGCGTGATTAAATTTCGACTGATGGGATGTTGGCACGTTTTATATTTCCACTCAATCCTGATGAAAAAAAAATTAGAAATCAGATATAATTTATAATTATAAAATGAAACAGGATATTTTTAAAAAAATAAATCCTTCCTGATTACCTTTCTGATTTTTACTCGTATCAATTCAATTTACTTATCCTTTCACTTAATTATACTGAATATGTTATGACATTTTTGAAACGGTATGATACATTTATAAAAAAAAATTAATCAAAAAGAAGTTGTAACACACTTGATGTCATATATAAATAAAATCTTTTTCTTAATCATTTTTCTTTGATTTTCAAATAAATTAGATAAAAAAACATCCAATTTACAAATTTCGCTTTAACTGTCCATGCTTAATCACTAAACATCTTCTATCCTGTATAAGCAATGCGATTTTCACGAGGCTGAATAATGGATGAGATCTGAAATGATATTATCAAT